AGGTGAAGAGCTAAGGCATTTAAAATATATAAAAAAATACTACCCTACGTATTATTAAGGTATGCATTTATAAAAAGCATAATAGAAACTAAAAAAACTAAATATAGTGAAGAGATTGGTTCATTGAATCGTTTTTCTTTATTTTTTTTTTTGCAACATGTTAATTAATTTCTTTTGGTATTTGAAGAGGTCTAAATAATTCTTCTCTTTGCATTACCATATGAATTAATTTATTTTGGTAGATGAAGAGTTAAAACCGTTTAAATATTAAAAAACAAAAAAAAAATTATCCAACAAAGAGAAATAAAAAGACAAGTGTTGACTATTTAAACTCTCTATAAGAGATTAAAATAGAGCTAATATGACTAATCTAACTGAGACTTCAAAATCAATGATTTAAGCAACCTAATGTAATTTAAGTAAAATGGATAACAAAAAGTTGAATCCATTGTGTATCTCAAAAATAAATAAATAAATAAATAAAACTTCAAATTCTAGTAAAATAATAATGACTTTTGCAACTAAATATATTCCAGGGTTTAATATGAACCACTAAAAAATTAGAAAAAAACAAAGATAAAACAAAAATGACAAGATTTAATGTTAGAAAATTGAAACAATATCAAATTTTGATTAATTGAAAGAGTTTTAAACTCAAATTTACAATATATAGGAACTCAAAATTTCAAATTGGAATATATAGAGAGTGCAGTTTGGGATTTAAAAATAGAAAATTACCTTAATGTGAAAAAACACATTTTGGTGCAATATAAATTTAAAAACATATTTTCTAATACATAATACAAAATATTTTGACACATTTGTCCTCTAATTTAATTAACAAATACAATTTACATTTTTTAAAAATAATTTTATCATAAAAATCTATACAAAGAAAACCACATAATATAGATATCAAATAAAAAAATAAACCATATATATGCATGAGCTAAAACAACTAAAAAATAAATTCATAAGAGTAATATTTAGTTTTATTTGTTGTTTGATTATAATTCTAAAGCAATTGAAATGAAAGATATGAAGAAATCTAATTATGTTATTATTTAACTTTAGCTCTATAATTGAGAGAAAATAAAATATTGTATGAATTATTAATTAAAATAATAGTTAAAAAAAAGAACGAAATTTTTTGGATAATGAGATGAAAATTAATAAATGTTTTATGAATTTTCTTAATATTTTTTCTTTTTAATATGATTTTATATAGTTTTTTAAAATAGTATTAGTGTTAATTATCAAACGTAATTTTAAACTCAATCTTAATTATTTAATTTGAATATTTTAAAAAATATTATAAAATTTAAAAGTTGATAAAAAAATAATATAAAATGCAAGTTCTAATAAAAAAATTGGAAAACAACTTGTGCAATACACCGGGCAAAAAAAACTAGTTTTTTATATTTTAATTAATAGATTCATATATTTCAATTTGAATTGCATATTAAAAATATAGTGTGAACACCAAAATTACTAAGTTACCCTTAATAAATAAATATAAATTTTTTTTATTAAAAGTATTTTAATAATTTTAATAGTCAAACTATACTTTTAAAATACAATTTAATTTTAAAAAATACCTTTATATTTATTAATATAAAATTTCACGTCACATTTTATGTGTTTACCTGTTGTCATATTTTATCCATGTCATCAATTGTTAAAACATGGAATTTCTATATCACTTATACAAAGAATAAATTAGATAATCTGTTAACCAGCGCGTTAGCTTAGCAAAAATTTAACAAAAGGAATAAAAAGAGTAAAAAAATAAATTTTAGAGGTAAAAAAGAAAGAATATTTTTAAATTAAGGAATTAAAAAAAATTATACAAAAATTAAGAGACTAAAATAGAGTTTTATTTAAAAGATATATATAACCACAAGAATTTGATATACATGATATATAATTGAGAGTTGAATTCCAAGCATAATTAAGGGAGGATAGAATTAATTCCAAGATTCTCATGAATTTGAATTGAAATACATCAATATCTTTCTCTAGTAGTCAAGTTCTCAAACTTTACTTGGTGATATCAACTGAAGAATTCGCGAATCTTCTTCGTTTTTTATTTAATGTGAGAGACATACGGTGCAAAGGAATATTCCCTTGTCCAAGGGCTAGATTAATGAAGACTTATGGTTAGTGAATAGAATCATTTTGCCAAAATTAAAGTATAACTTCTAAGTGTTTTAATTAGTAAAAGTTTAAGACTCTCTCCTAGAGTTCTCAAATTCAAACTAAATACAGATAAGGAGATTTAAGTATAAGAAAGCCTATTCTCTATACTAGAAAACCTGTACATCATATGCACAAAAAAAAAAAAAAATTTTGAGAACTGTCAGTTAATTTCCAACTAGAGGCTACAGCCTGGCCTCAGCGGCATGCGATTTGGATGAAATTGAAAACAGAACAATACTGTTCACTTGTTATCCCGACTAACAAAGCCCAAAAGTCCAGGATAATACCAAGGCCTAAAAATGAGCCCAAGAAGACACCACTAAAAGTTTGGAAGGACCATACAGGTGAGTATTTTCGGTTAAGGTTGGGTATAAATTATATTCAGTACCTAAAAATTTTTAAGTGTAACTTTTTTAACTTAATATTTATTTAAATATTTGAAAATTCATAGTTAGCACTTAATTTAATAAGTATTTTGGTATACTTAATTTAAAGAAAAAAGAGATCTTGTACAAGTTGTTATTGTGCTACTTGTATTATGTGTTTGGATTGAGATTTGTTATTTACATAAATTATTATTGTTGTGTGTATAATTTGTTTGATTTATAGGTTTTATTTTATTTTTATTTTTAAAAATTATTGTTATCATATAGATATTAAGTCTAATAAATATAGGTAAAATTTTGATTATATGAATACAAATACATGTTAGTTAAATAAATCAATTAAATAAGTCAAATAAATAGTTGTAACTTCTTATATTTTGATACTCATGAATATGTTGCTTTTATATCCATTACTTATATAATTTTTTTATAATTTAAATATAACATTTATCTAAACAAATAAAATACTTGTAAATAACAAGTGTACTTATACATAATGTTCACTCTAAGTTTGTGCATCTCCAAGTCCAACATGCTTATGCTTCTTTCATTTTCTTCATTTCTCAAAGTCAACCTTCTTCCAAATTGCTTTAGCCCCGTCATTTCTTTTCTTGTTCCTGGATTGTCTTACAAGTTAGGATTTGGAAAAAAGGCAAAAAGGGCAAATCAACCCCTGTACTTATGGAATGG